GATTCTCTTCTACAGAGGCACCAGCAAATATTGCCTCCGCAACTCTGTCTTCATCCTTCCTTTCATTTAGGAATTTTTCCCCCAGCTCCACATTTCCAAATCCTACTTCGCCTCAAATGCTCAAATCCAGTATTACCTTCTCCTTCAAGTCTCTCTTCCTTATAGGCCCCAGCTAGTCACAACCCCTCCACCCCTGAATTTTCACAGGTTCTCCAGTGCCTCATTCAGGTCTCAGATCAAATGGCATATCAAATGAGCAGCCTCTAAACTCACTGGATGGTTATAATTCTCTATCAGACCGACCTGTTTTTATTTTGGTGATAATATTCACCAGGAGCTGAAATAACCTTGTCATTTCTTTCACTTGTTTATTTACTTGTTAACTGCTTGTCACCCATATTAAAATGGAAGGTCCTTGAGAGCAGAACCCTGTCTTGTTCACCACAGTTCCCTACTCCCTCAGGTCAGATGGGGAAAGTATTCAGTAAATAGCTGCCAAAAGCTTGAATGACTATAGTTCTCATGACTAGGGTTTTGTGTATGGATCTTCCTCTTTCTATTTCCAAACTCCTTGGGGACTAGGCCAAAGTCTGACTCCTCTATTTGTGTGTCATATCCAGAAATCTTTGCACAACTGAAACAAATCATACACAACTGTTAACTAATTAGTGAGTGATCTTTCAAGGGGTACTGCCTCAAACCAAGCCAACGCAGGAACTCCCTATGTTCAGAAACCAGAGTAAACAGGAACAGCTTTCCATCCCCTCTCCAGGGCACACCCTGTTCTAATATGCCATTGGCCCGTGAGCTTCCAAAGGCTAGCTTCTTCACTTTCCTTCAGTCAACAACCACTTAGTCTTCTATCCCTAAAATCTCACGCCTACCCTTTCCTTTATATCTCCACCAACACTTCACTCCAGGGGCCTGGCTTCCTCAGAGCATCCTATACCTCCGCAGTTGGGGAACTTATTAGGATCTAGAGAAAAAGGGAAGGTTCAAATGAAGTATTTGGTTAAGAACTGGCTCACTCACCTTTTTCTTGATATCTCATTTATCAAAAATAGGCTGTTGGGCTGGGGCTGGGGCTCAGAGGCAAAGCACTCGCCTAGCATGCGTGGGGCACTGGGTTCGATCCTCAGCACCACGTAAAGTAAAATAATGACGTGGTGTCCACCTCAAATTTTTTAAAAAATAGGCTGTTTCCAAAACTAGCTCTGAGAGTCTTTGGAATCCAAAGCATTCTTCCAATTTAACCCACAGCACCCAAAAACTTTGGGGACACCACCACTAAGGAACCTTTTCACCTTCCGCCACAGGAAAAAAAAAAAACAAGCCAGAGATGGTGATCTTCCCGGAAGCAAATGACCATCAAATGGAGCTGGGGCACCCCCTCTCCCGACTTTCTGTCCCGCATCCACCTCTGGGCTGTAGGAGTCTTAAGCACCTCTTACCCCAGTCTCCCCACCACGCCCCACCCTCCAACACCACCCCCACTCACTTGAGGCGGCCCCCGCAGTGCTGGCATTGCTCGCCCACCCAGCCGGCGGGGCAGATGCACTGGCCGGTGCCAGGGTCGCAGCGGCCGCGGTTGACACAGGGCTGATCGCATTTCTTGGCCTCGGATGCAAGTGAGCCTGATCCTGTCGCCGCCGCCGCCCCAGCCTTTCGGGGCCACAGCAAGAGTAGCAACAGCGGGAGCAACAGGAGCAGCAGCAGCAGCGGGAGCACCACCAGGAGCCTTGGGAGACCGAGCCCAGACCTGAGTCTCCCGGTCCAGGTTACGTCCGGGTCCCGCTGCCTCCATCCCTTCCTGCCCGCAGGCGCTGCCATCGTCTCAGCCGCTGCAGCCGCAGCCAACATCTTACCGGGCTGGAGCCCGCACCCGGAGAACTTGTACACAACCACCGCCCGGGCCGCGCGGGGACGAGGTGCGGGCGGGGCTGTGCCGACTGTGGCTCTGGCATCCATCCCGAGGGCGGGACCCGGGAAGCGCGATAAAGGAGGCTGATAGTGAGAGTGCGGAGGCGGTCTCTACCCAGAGTCTGGGAATAGTTGAGACCCTCCTTTCGCGGTTGAGGCTACCTGCCTCCGGACTCTTTGCCTATAGCACCAGGTAGAAGCGGGGGAAGCGAGCCCAAAGTGTCCCCTTCGCGTGTCTGCTCCGAAGCCACGTCAGCCTCTTTGAGTTTTGTCCTTGTGGACACTCCGCGCCCATCAGCGCTCTGCACCCACTGCAGTTGCCGGTCGAGAAGGACCCGGGAAGGCTGCTGCGTGGTGTGGTGCTAGGTGCGGTCCTGTAGAAGAGAGTGCTGCATATGAGTCTCTAAAATTGGGACAAAATAACGCGTGGGTTAAGACCTTGGCATATCAATAAATACCTAACAGACTGAAAACACACAGCCTGTTCGCCCTTGGTAATGTTAGAAATAACAAGGTGCCACAAGAAATCAATCCATCAATCGTAAGTGGGTCCAAAAGGCGCCATTGCACTTCTGCAGAAGGGTGCGCTCCAAAGGGAATCCAACCCGCAATCCAACCCCTGGGGCGGGCTGCCCAGGTGCTGCCCCTGGCGTCGGATGGGAAGAGTTGGGGTGGGAGTATGTAATTACTGGATTCGCTAATTTAAAAAAAATAGGTGGCACTGAAAAGGGCTACAGTGTGATTGGACACCTGTTAGAAAAATTTTAAAATGGCTCCATTCTGGTCATATGATCCCCAAATTTAAGATGACTCTCTTCTGCTCACATGATTCTCTCATTTAAGATGGCTCCATTCTGACCACATGGTTCTCTAACTTAAGATGGCTGGCTCTTTCATACCCTTGAAACCTCCAACTTACTGTCAACACAACTGTGTTGCATTACAGGTTTAACTTTGATAGAAAAGAAAACATAAATCTTACAGTTTCCCCCTCTTATATGATCCATATAAATCATTTTCTTCAAATTTGGATAACATCTTTTGACTTTCATGTTGAACTGTATCTAACATAGGAAGGTTATTTTGATATATGACTAGACTTTGTTTGGTGAGAACTCTGTCAATGGTTGAACAAGTCCTCCCACACATGGAATTGAGCAATATCTAACTGTAAGTTATCACTCCCAATACAACAATCAATGGGATAATAATAAATGTGATTAGTTCTTTCCATATCATCCTATTAGTAACATGCATTTTTTGTAATTCCTTTGAGAAATTCTCTTGTATAATAACTCTTTGTTGATAATAATCAATGTAATTAATCCAATTTACCCTCTTATTTATAGAAGACCACCAAAAGAAAATTGATTCAAAACTTGCTGTTATCTGATTTCCGTCTTTGAACTCATTAGGAACCAACCTCTCAAGGAATTCTGATTAAATCTATGTATATATGGGGGTCAAATGACCCCAGGGAAGAGAGATCTCTCTTCTTCTCAAAGAACTGGGATTGCTTTGATCTGAGAAATACTGGGGGGAAAGGGATAGCCAATTGAATAAAAGTGCAGATTCTATTCCAATTGTCAGATAAGGTCTCGAGTAACAGCCCTCCACAATACCACCAGACACTGGCTGTGGCTATAGCAAGTGCTTTTTGATTAGATATCTCCTCAAAGGACCAACTTTAATTGCATCCAGATGTATTTCCCAAGAAGGCAAATTATTCCTCCCTCTGTGCCCCCCAGAGAGACAAGAGGAATGAGTGGTTCCAAGGGAAAGAAGTTGGAATCTTTAGGCCCTTAATTGCTGAGAACAACAACCACAGGGTCTTGCAAGAGTTATTTCCTCAAGCTGTGTTTTCCTGAAAGAGGGATATCATACAATTCATGGCCAGAGGTCTGAGGTCCAGCCAAGTGGGAATGGGACCACTTGAGCTTGCGTTAACTTGCACAAGCATTAACATTTGCTTTTATTTAATGTGTAAACAGAATATTTAAACCCTTCCACCCAGGCATTGGTCTCAGGGTACTCAAAATCTATTTTAAGAGTTTATTGTAAATCCTTTACTTCTAAAATAACCTTGGTAACATTATATTTCCAGAGATTTATTTCTCTAGAATATGCTGAATAACAGTATCTGTTTGTCCCAGATAATTGCCCCTGAATGTGTAAATCTTCACAGGTATCCAATGTATCAACCAGAGGGGAGGTGGTCTGGATTACATTAATGATCAAGTTATAGGATGCCATTTTCCGTATCACTATGGACATTATTAGAGTCTTTTCACAGCAAATTTGGTGGAATCTAGATATTGGACCGAGGACCATTGTTCCTCCCTATTAAAAGATGAGGAGGCTCCCTTTACTCATGTGTAGTGAGGACAACCTGGCTTTGTGGTCTGAAGAGCTGGATCAGTCATGAGCAGGACTTCCAGGGCCCATCCCAAGCAGGGACCAGTTTGTTTTCCATCTAAACTTGGATCAGGATGTGGTCACCTGGTCAATGTGGGTATACAGGGAATTCCAGAAGTGGTGTCTATGCCAGGAGGCCCTGTAATAGCAGGGATGATAAAGTAGAAGACAGACCTAATATATAATTTTTCAGAAATTGATCCTTTGTTTCAAAGGTGGGGAAACCCATTGCTTTTCCTAAATATGGTAACCCATACAGCACTTCATGTGGTGATAACCCTACATCTTTTCATGGAGCCATTCTAATTTGAAGAAGAGCAACAGGGAGGCACTTAGTCCAGGGGAGTTTTGTTCCTAATATTAACTTAGTGATTTGTCTCTTTAGAGTTTGATTCATTTTTTCCACCTTTCCTGAGTAAGGTGGGTACCAGGGAATGTGATATTCCCATTTTATGTTTAATATTGACATACGTTCTTTAATAATGGTTGCCCTAAAGTGGCTTCCATTATCTGAATCAATTTTTTCTATCAAACCAAACTGAGGGATTATAGACTCTAATAAGACCTTGGTCACATTGTTGGCATTAGTACTGGGCAGGGGGATAGCTTCTACCCAATTGGTAAAATGATTCACTGTCATCAACAAGGATTTTAAATGGCCTATTTTGGACATTTCATTATAGTCAATCTGGATGCTTTGGAAAGGTCTTAATCCAGGGTTCCTCCCTCCTAGGGGCTGTTTTCTCAAACCTGTTCATTAGTTCTTATATAAGTAATATAGCTTTTGTTGACTTACTTGGCTACAGAATAAATTCCATGCACCCATATATTCTTTTATTTTAAATTTTGTATAGTTATAGATGGACAGAATGCCTTTATTTTATTTATTTATTTTTATGTGGTGCTAAGGATTGAACCCAGTGCCTCACACATGCTAGGGAAGTGTTCTACCACTGAGGCACAGTCTCAGCCCCATATATTCTTAATACAGCATCAAACATGGCTTGTAGGTCTCAGGAACTACCTTTATGCATCATAAAGGTATGCATCATTTCCCCCATAAGAGGCTTTATGAGCATCTCTCTACCATTGGATAAAAGCCATTTTCCTTGGGGGCTCCCAGCTTTATTTTGTTTCTCCTCCTGTGGACTGAATATTGGGATAATTGGGAAAGGGGATAAAACAGGGGTAAATGGCATTATCCCTCTCGTCTCTCTCTTAGTCGTAGTCATTAATTAAGGAGATATCAGATGAGAGTCAATAGGGAATGAAGAAAAGACAGACACACATAGAGAGAAAAGGGTGGGGCCAGCTTCATCATTCCTTGATGAAGGATAAATGACCCAGAACTAGCTCAGCACATTTATTGTATAGGTTTCCTTGACAGGTAATTTATGGGAAAGTTTCAGCAAAGCAGGCAATATGAAGGATGCAGGACTGGTGATACATTAGGGTCATCTTTTTTGCTCAGAATCCTCTATCCCTGGGAGTTGGTGAACTCAAAGTTCTAACTGATAACTCTGAGCCTTTGCAAAGAGTTTCCTTGAGCTAGCAACTGGGCCATCTTGACCTGCATCTTTGCACAGGCATTTCCAAGCACAACTCGGACCATGATTCAAATCACTGCTGTCCACAGGTAAAATGAAAAATAGAGGTGTCTGATTGGAGGGCAGCCTCTTTAACTGCTTCATCTGCTAGTCTATTGCCTTGGCCTCTATGTTATAGCTCCTTTGATGTCTTGGCATAAGTTCAATAGCTATCTTTTCTGGTAATAATAGGCTTTCCAATACTTGAGTAACTAATTCTTTGTATATTAAATATTTTCCCTTACTATTAATTAAGCTGTGTTCAATCCAAACTTTTACAAAAGTGTGGACAACTCCAAAGGCATATTTCAAATCTGTGTAGACAGTTCCTTCTTTCTTTTCAGAAATTTTAGGGCTTGACAAGAGCAAGTACTTCATAGGTCTGGGTGAACCACCTGTTGGGTAGCCTTCCTGGCTCTATTATGATTTTTATTGTATTCCATCTACTACACAATATCCATTATATCTTTTTCCTTGAATAACTCAGGAGGACCCATCTACAAAGATTATAAGGCCTGTTGAGAAGGGAATTTCCCTAAGGTTGGGCCTGATCTTGGCTTGGTATTCTATTAGATCCATGCAGTGGTGCTCAGTAGAGTTTGAGAGTTTTTCCCCAAATTAAGAATTCACTGTGAAATATGATATATTAAGAACTATGTAATGTTTTGAATGACCAACAATAAAAAAAAATAAAATAAAAATAAAAATAAACAGAATTCAGCTGGGTTTAGACAGCATCAGTTATGAGTGTTAAGTTGTGGTAAGGGCTCTTCAGGGACAGGGAGAGAGCAACATTACACGCTGAATAGCTATGTGCACATGCATCCTCAGAACAAAGAGAGACAGCATGGAACATTCAGTGCACAGGCAAACTCGGGGAAACTCTGTTATGCATAACACTGTTGCCATTTTGTTGAAATTTTAATGTACAGAATATCTAATTAACATGCAAGTTAATAGATAGGGAAGACAAAGGAACTAACATGCAATGGGAGGGGAATAAAAACAATGCCCTGCTGCACTTGGGGTTCAGTCTTTGGATACAGATCTGCCAGGCCAGTGCCAGCATTAATAAATGCTGCTTTATGCTGAATGCCCCCAGTGCCCTGTTTCTCTGTGTGAGAATCCCACAACAAAGTCATCCCTCTCCAGGAGAACAGCCTCATATTTTAGAATACTAGAATCAGCTAACCATCTCCCTGCTCTTAGGTGGAGGAAGTTCTGACCTGATGGGATTTGCTCCCCCAAAGGTTACTTTTTTACTTTCCTGACCAAAAGGGCATGGCCTGAATGTATCCAATTAGTGGACCACCATTGTGCATGATTTTATATATATCTATATCTATCTATCTATCTATCTATCTATCTATCTATCTATCTATCTATATCTATCTATCTATATAAAATAATCAGTTGGGATATATATATAAATGTATGTGAGTATATATGTATATGTGTGTGTGTATATATATATATCCTAATTACTTCTATCCATAATTGACTATTTCTATCTTATTTCTACTTATTTATTTAGTGCTGGCCGTCAAACCTAGGGCCTCACACATGCTAGGAAAGTACTCCTCTATCCCAGTTGTTTATTTGATTATATAAGAAATTAGGAAAGGGAGAGATAGTGGGATGAATCTGACATAATTTTCCCACTTATATATATGAATATATCACAGTGAATTGCACCATCATGTACATCCATA